GCTCTTAGAGACATTCCGTAATAAATTTCTCTAGGTGTGAAAGAACGCGCTTTATCAAACCTCGGACAATGCGGTTTTCATATGATTATTACACCTAACCTGTTCACATTGTACGTCTGACTCACCGTCACAAGCGAAACTACTCCAACATTCGGCTATCGAACACAGTAAGGAACATGAAGCGTACAAACCATATAGGGAGGATTTGTCTATGACAAATGATAGAAAAAGGTAGGAATGATGGCATGCTTTGCTTGCTTGCATGATCTGGGGAACAAAGAGTTCTACAAATGGTTCCAAAATGGTTATGTAGTACATCAAGGCACTTAAAATTATCAGACGGTAATTTGCAGCCCTCCACATTCATTTTGCGCTCACGTCACTGCATTTGCAGATCACGTTTAAAAAACCAAAGTATAAATTAGCTCTAAAGTATGCTTTTTGCAACAGCCATCAGAAACCTAAAGCGGCTCCGATAATTTATGAAAAAGATGTATGCATATGCTGTTGATGTTAGCCAGAAAATCCAACAGAATCCGACAGGGGATAACAAAGTCGCTTATATTCTTGCCAATCTAACTGATTTCGTCAATCAGCACACAGTTAGCAAAAGGATTCATCTCGTAAGCAAAAGCATCAGGAATTAACGAAGACCTGGGCCAATACAGCAATTTCACATTTTTGGTCGGCAAATTATTTATAAAACATAAATGAATAATATTGCTGAATTTGTATGAAAGTTTTAGGCAAAAACGACAGAAAAGTTAGCTTCTTAAGTTTTCCGTCTTCAACTGATACGCATATAACTTAGATGGAACTTTGCTGTTTACCTGTTTGGTTGCAAAATTTGTTAACTTCTAACCATACAAGGCCTAATATACTTTGGAAAGCATGATATTAATTCAAATCTCTTACCGATACATCTGTCCAAAGCGTCTCGTCCACATCGATCTAGGTAACGTTCCCGAATAAACCACCGTAGAGAGAGAAAGTACACATTACGCTTATATGTTTTCCGAATCACTCACAAACAATACTTCTGTAAACCATTTTTCAAGCTGATGGAGTACTTTTGTAGTCGCACGAAGTACAGCGTTCTGTAAACAATGGCATGGCAGTGAAGGGAAATACTTGCTGCGTCTCAGGAGGTGAAATTATTGCAAAACCGACTATTTCGTGTTGTTTTAGCAGGCTGTTTAATGAGTTTAGTTGGCGTCCAAGCAGAATTCTTTACAGTCGCGTACACACTAGGAAACAATAAAATATAATACAAGCCTTAAGGTCATACAATTGAGTTATTTTGTCTGAAGCTTGCTCAAGCTCAGTCCAGTAATCTAGAATCATGTTCTTCCGCCACCAGCGCATCTATCTAATGCATAAACACGTAAAGCAAGTGGTGGCTTTTTCAGCTATTTAAAAGCCTCGGCGAATCACTCATTGTCTGGTATTCTTTTATTATTACAAATGCTTGGGTGAAGCAAAATTCATTCAATGTGGTTTTTCAAAGTAACGTTTGAATTTACTACCATTTTGAGACATATCCCTTATAATTTATTACTTATGGTTCATGGTGTACGCAAAAGCTGTAAAGTGTTAACTTGAACTATTTCAGTGTACCCCAACTACATTGCTGTCCAGCCGCTCTTATATTTTTGAGTTAAAATCTTGAGTGGATTTATCTCGTCGGCGTAGGCTCTGTGGCAAACACTACACTTAATTCAACCACCCAAGTGACCACATACAACGTTTATAATTGGATATATGCTTACGTAAAAGTTGCACAGAGTCTTCACCAGTATACGAGATAAGCCAGGTTTGTTTTTATCGTGCATTACGGTTTGTGACTTACGTGAGCATAATACAGCGAAATAGGAGTCGGAACATCTACGTTTACACCCATCTAAATGTAGAAGCCATTGAGAAGTCACATGTCGG